ACAGTCAATTAGAGGCCTTCTCAGATGCAAATTATGCATCTTGCATGGATACGCGAAAATCAGTTTCTGGCGTCCTGTTGATGCTGAATGGTGGCCCAGTTATTTGGTCATCTAAGAAGCAAACAATAGTTGCTACATCAACTACAGATGCCGAGTATATAGCGGCCCACAATGCATCGAAGGAAGTTGTGTGGACTCGTGGCCTATTACGAGAAATTGGGTACGAGCAAGTTAAACCAACGACTCTATACTGCGATAATACGGCAGCAGAAACATTGATCAAGAATCCAACGTTTCACAGGAGAACAAAACACGTGGACATAAAATATCATTATGTACGAGAAGTAGTCAAGAATGGACAACTAATGGTTACGCACATTTCCAGCGATGAACGACGGGCGGACATATTAACAAAAGCTCTTTCAAAGCAAAAATTTATAGCAAATTGCAAACTTTTGAGTATGACTTTGTAAACTCGTCGAGTGGGAATGTTGAAGATAATTCGACTCGTTTTCTTTTAGATGGCGCTTTTTCGTTCGTTTCCGCGCTGCTGTTTCGGGCGTGCATAATAACCTTTTTTGTTTTAGTATAGTCGACTCTCTGTAAAACCTTCGAACACACGTTGGTGGTTGACAACGCCCCTTTTTGTGCATATAAGTATTGGCTTATTCTAATAATAAAAGGAATTCAGTTTCTTACAACCGAAAGTGGTGACATTTTTAATATACAAGCCTATTCACATCCATTTCCGTAACATTAATGACGGATCATTCCGCCGACAAATCGTCCAACGAAGTAACGAGATACGCTTATTCGACATTAAAAGCTTTTGCGCAACGCCTGATAATAGAAAGCGTTATACATGACGCGATCGATGAGATGTGCCTATTATTCCTCTCATATAATAATTATAAATATTTGAACCGCGCGTGTAATTACCTCCAAATTATTATTATTATTTATGAATATTGTTTTAAATTATAAGCAGTCGGCTCATTAATTTATGATTTTAATGTCAATATCGATTACGTGTGCCACATAATCCCAAATATAACATTACTTCCGATGAAAAACGACGTGACAAACAAACAACGACAGCATTTTCGCATCTAACAAAAAGCATCGATAGTATATTGCAGACGAATCGATCCTCTCATTACATACAATGCAGCGTACACATATGGGGCGCGCCCACTATACATCCCTCCTCCTTTATCTTTCATTATATAAAAATACATAGGCCCTATAAACGCGGGTATGACGTACATACGTTCTACCTGCGCAAGAGGATCGTTTTTTAGACGATATGGATTTTAGCTCGTTGACGCAGCGAGTCGTCGAAGCGCAACGATCGCATCAGTGCGATTATAACTATCGATTCCGATGCTATTCATACCGGTACACATTCGGTACCTCGTTACAAGACCATTTCGTTTTTAATCACAACACACTTCGTACGTATGTACGACTTACTTTTATTTTTAAAAAATATCTGCCTCTCGATTCCGCCTAACCGGAACATTCTTCATTATTTTATGTATATTTATACCTATTATTTTTATATTTTACCCTTTCTTTCTTTCAAACTTTCGCACTCACCTTGCGAGTAGATCGGGAACTCTCCGTCGCTGTGGCTGTGGGTGAGCATGCCCGTGGAGTAGAATTGCCATAAGGCGTGCTTCCTGCTTTCCTCCGACGTGCCTGCGAGGACCTCGTCGTCGTCGGCGAGGCCCAGCAGGCTCACTACCTCGGAGAGCGACAGATTGGCGCGACGACCGCTCACCGAGGTGAGGCCCCGAACACAGAAAACAATTTAAAGAGACGACCGACGTCTACGTCGCGTGATTGGCTCGCTCCACCGACAAATGCGCTTCGTGGCACACACACGCACGTACACACATAAACTGCCGCGAAAAAGACGAAGTCGTCGCGCGATGCGGCAGGATTTATCCGGGATGACACACTGACAAAATTTCTCCCACCCGCAACGAGTCACGCAGCCGACACTTTGTCCCTTTCCCGTCGTAATGTCACACGTTCGTTCGTACGATTCACTCGTACGATTCGTTCATAGCCCGTATTTGATTCTCGGTTTAACGGGAACAACACTCAATTTTGACGTGTGTACCGTTCGATTCAGCGTCATCGTTTCACAACCAGCAGGAACGATGCAACGACAGAATTGGTAGCATCTCTCTTGAAATTGAAAAAACTCGCTGCCTTCGCATATCGCGAGAAAGTCGAATCGTCGATAAGTTTCTCCATCGTGCAAAAATGGGACTATAATTTATCTTAATAGCATCAACGTATAGAATTTCTCTATTCTTTCCTTTGCCTCTTGCCTCCACATGATATGACATTTGAGTGAAAAATTATTAACTAAATGCTCTGTCTCCTGCGGAAATTGTGGCCGCTCAAATTAAATACATTTCCCGTAACAAGCGGTACTTGATACAATGGCGTTCGACCTCGATACAATTACCTAAACGAACAGACACATATTATATGGCAATTGAAAGCGCGGCAACTTTGATAGCTGTCATTAGCTATCGCTAGAGAGCAAATCAGTCGCGATGCATATAATTAGCATGCAATTTCGATTTCGAAATTATTATTTAAAATGATATTGCCGATGAATATCCACGCAGCAAAGCGCGATGCGTTAGATCCGATCGTGCAAATGACATTGAAACAGAAAATATTAATATTTTATTCATGTGACATCGCTCGTATAAAAATAATAATAGAAATTTTTTGTTAATAAAACCGAAATAAAATTGAAATTATTTTTCATTATTTATGTTATCATGTACCCTGGTAGAAATTGCCAGTTTAACGCCAAGACAGAAGTATGGGCCTCACTTGTTTGCCAAGACGTAGCCTATCTAAAAGAATTTAGAAAGGCTATAGTATGGCCCAGAATGATATTTAGTCTGGCGCTATGTTTAATCAGTAGCGTTCGCCAGTCTTTGCTGCCAGGAAAAAAAAAAGTTTGGCCTTACTTGTTTACCAAATCATAGCCTATCTAAAAAAATTAGAAGGGTTTAGGTATGGCCCAGAGTTTTGTCTGGCGCTATGTTTTATATGTCCATATAGTGTCCGCTAGTCTTTTCTCTCAAACTGTTTCTGAAAGAGATACTATTATAGAGTCTATTATAAGTCTATATAACTATATTTATTCCCGCTACGTTTTATAAAAATATAACAATTCACTTCTTCTTCCAAATATGGATAGAGACATGAAATTGTTAGCGGATAGATTAACCGCACAAAAATATACGAAAAATTATTAAAATT